AAAACGATAACGTCCATCCTTTTTCTTGAGAAGGAGAATTGGTGAGGCCCACGGAGACCTAGAAGGTTCGATGACACCATCATCTAGCATTCTTGTTAATTCCTCGTTAACTTGTCGCAGTAAAGGTGGAGACAAAGGATAATGTCGCTGTTTGATCGGTACTGCGGTGGTTCTAATAACATGTTCCACTAGAGACGTACATCCTAACTTCACTCCCATATTCTGAAAGGTATCATCAATGAACTTGTCTAGTCTAGACTTCTGTTCACTGGATAAAAAGCCAGAAGAGATAAGGGCGAGCTGAGTGGACGGTAATAATTCTTGAGATGTCTCCTGGAAAAACCATTTTCCAGAAAACATGTCCGGCACTATGCGCATGGCTCTCCAAAAGTCCATTCCCAAAATGAGAAAATGAGGGATACCAGGGACGATTAAAACATTTATAATTTTTAATTTATTGCACAACACTATAGGGAGAGGCACCATTCCCAAAATATCGCAAGCTTGACCGGATGCCACGACACAGGACTTCTGTTCGGCTTCCTTAAAATTGCAAGACGTCTTCAGAAGGTTCCATCCAGGTCCACCCAAAATCGTATTGGTAGCCCCTGAGTCTAGCAAACCTAATAACGTACGTTCATAAATTTTCACTTGAAGATAGGGTCTGGAGTCTCCTTTAGCATGAGCTAAAACATAGTCTAATAAAATGTGTTGATGATCTTCGGTCGATGTCGATGAAAAGTCAGCTGCTCGACCTACTGCTGACTTCGAGAGGAGTTTTTTCGACACCTTGGACAATTGTTAATTGAGACATCTGGACTGCCACATTTAAAACAAAACCGATTGCGTCGGGGTTGATCGCATTTCTTGAATCTATGGCCCGTTCCGCCACAATTCCAACATGAGGGTTCTAGATCAGACTTAGGAATAGATGGATTATCTCTCGGGGGCTGACTGGTATTTCGGTTTGTCACTGGTGTGGATTGCACTGGGCGACTACTAGCCACAGTTATTGGTTGTTGATTTCCGGGTTTGCGGTATGCCAGTTCTGGCTCGAGAAGTGATCGATATGAAGTGGGAGGAGGAACATATTTATCCATCACCGCCTGGGCTTCTTCCACTTTTCTACCAAGAACAATCAATTCATCAATTGTAGATACTTGGTGAAGTATTAACTGCGATTGAATACTTGGCAATAAATTTCGTCTTATAAGAATTACGCGATCTTTTTCAATCGGTGGTTGTTTCAGTTTCCTAAATAAGTTTTCCATTATTGTAATGTAATTAAGGATTTTCTCATTTGCACCCTGTGTTCTTTTCCTGATTTCGTCCATTAGACCAAGTTCATAGTCATATGGTAAGTATGCTTCTTTAAGCTGCTGACATAAATCTTGCCAAGATACAAATTTTCGGGTCCTATACCAAAGTAAAGCATCCTGCGTCAAAAGCTCAGGAGAACAGCGTAAGAGTTGTTGATGAGAAACCCCTCGAGAAATTCTAAATTCTTCCACTCTCTCTAAAAACTCATTAACACTTGTCCTACCGTTAAATTTGACATTCCATCGGGACACGTCTGGTAAGCGAGTTTCTTGACTCCATCCATCATACACTGGTCGTCGCGAAGGGATGTGTAGATTACTCATGGCTGAAGACATATATTCAGGTGCATTCCACAAAGGACTCGTGCTATCTATCGTAGCTCTTCTACTAGATACATTTGGAATTGTAGTTGGCTCCGTAATAGGAGGCATAAAATTAACTCGTGCTGTAGGATTTGGTATTGACCTTTGCCTTATTGAGTTCGAAGCTACCGGAAGAAAATTCGATCGAATTTGACTTCTACTATTCGTAGCTATTGGGTCTGAAAATGGAGGAAATTCCCATACTTCTCCATGCGTAGGATTCGCAGATGTACATGGTGGTATTACTCGTTGTGGTGATATTAACTCCAAATTAGGTTGATCCAAAATGGTTAAGTTTCCAGAATTGCTATTACCAATATCATTCTCAGTATGATCTACTAATGGTGGTGGGTTAGTGTGAGGTACAGACGAAACAGCACTTTCATAAATTTGTATAAGTTCCTCTTGAACGGATTTACAATGATCTGCTAATTTGCATTGTTCTTCCTCTTCTTCTTCGTAAGAGACTGGAATACGATCAATACGACTAGCTAAATGCTGCAGTCTTGTTCCTATTCTTTTATATTCGTTTTTCGAATTTTCGGGATCAAAATTTTCAATAGCTTGTTCGAGCTCGGAACACTTTGCCTTACATATCCTTATTTCATCCTCAACTACTAGATCTATATGCCCTCTGATTAAATTATCTGGAGTTTCCTTCTCCTTAATTAAAATCTCGCGAAGACTCTTTCTCAAGTCATTAACACTAGCACTAGGATTTCTAGGTAACCCTCTAATATATAATTCATAAGCCAGTTCATCTTTTAGAAGTCTATTGACCTCCATCTTATCACAAATAAAGAACTTTTACAACTATGAAAATAGTTTATGCGCAATCTAAATTTTCTAATCTAATTCTAGATTGTAATCACTAAATTCCCCTCTTTCCAAAGAAAAAATAAAAAATATAGAGAATGAAAACAAATTACAACTCGCAAGTGCAATTGCTATTTTGTAATTACCTAATTCTAACCTTAATTAAATTATATCCTATCTAACTAACTATATGTACACTATACTCAAAACACAATCCTACTATCGTTACTATACTCAAAAGTACAAAATTAATTAGGCATTGGTTATATTACATGTAATGAAGTATTAATAAATACCTTCCCATAAATTCTACCAACCAACGTAAATAAAAATTTGCCCCACTCTACCCTAAGCAAGTTTAAGGAATAATGTGTTATGAGTTATGAGTTATCAGTAACAAAAGTAAAAAATAACCTAAAATTAGCTAATTATTGTATTTTTAATGAATACATCTGTTTATTAACCTTTTATTTACACAATTTTTGTATAATTAAACTTTTCTATTAATTCCCAATAGTGACTTTTAACAACTGCATAAAGGCCAAATTTGAAAAAGAAGAAAATAAAAGAAGAGTTGTGACAGTGGTCACAATGTCAATTGCCAACAAAATTGTCAGCTGTCACTGCTGTCAGTTGAAAAATCAACAACACAAATCAAAGTTCTATTAGAATTTAGAAACCCTGAAAATAAACGAAAATAAGGAGTAAAATTAACAATATGCAACTAACCTGTGATGTCTATCCTACTAACAAAGTGTTATACTCGTTTGTGTCGTCCAAATATAGTACATAACAACATAACCAAGCAATTAGTTACCAAATAAATATTTCCAACTTGAGCAAATAATATGTGAATATACAATTATATACAAGCTAAATGTAAAGGCAGTTGCTTTATTACTTTTTACTAAAGCAAAGAACTGTATTATTGTTTCTACATATACAAAAAATCCAAATACCTTAAATAGTGCCTAAAATATATATCTATGCAAGTAAAATAGGCTGAAACTGAATTGTATGCTTCTTTTTATACCATTTATACATCCGCTAATACTATACATGTAAATAAAATCATATTGTGCAAGAGAATAACCAACCGAATGCTGAAGTGAATAAAGTTCCAAAACTTATTTATGTGATACTACCTAACAAAATTTGGTCACAACTAAAATTTACACACGGTGAGCGCCATTTATTACTATTTTACATTCTGATCCTGAAGGCGAATTAGAAATCAAAGTTACAAGAACTGTGCTGCTAGCTCAAAGCTAGAGATAGTCTATTTTAATGCCACTGTAAGCCGGAGAGTGGCATGGATTCTTAAAGAGAAACTTGATATGCTAGTGTGACCAAATAATAACAATGAGTAAGTAGTGTTTTTCTTTAATTTGTACAATAAGTAGGTAGTTAGGTAGATAGTGATAATTAGAAACTCAATTGTATGTAACAAATACCGATAGGTAATAAATCCCCCTTTGTAGTACTACCAAGGTTCACACGTTTTAAATATATATGTATGTCACTATTTAATTAAATGTTCTTATTTTTCTTGCAGGTTATACGGCTGCTATTAATCGGATGAGTATAAAATTGGAAAGCTCTTACTTGGCGATATCGGTTCCTAGCGGCGTCTACAGCTATGATATAATGCTCGCAGTCAAGTGCTGGTAAAGGAAGAAGTGGGTTCCAGCCACCAATCCAATATATACGGCACGTGAGTGGTACTTTAGAAGAGACTTAAGGAGGTGCTCTATAGAGAAAGTAGTAATCGGCTCTACGAGCAGCAGTAAATAATATCTGGTAATACTAGGAGCTAGATGACCAAAGTTAGATATTGTAGAGACTCAATGTCTACACTTAATGGCCTAAAAGTAATATGCATAAAATAGAAAGATTTTCACACCAAAGAAAATGAAGAATGCTTACCGGAGATCAGAAGCGGCCCCTTTTAAGATAAGTATAATTATCCCCAACTGGGTAAATCCACTTAGATTAATGTTATATATACTTAATCTGTTAGATGTTAGCTTAAACTTAATTTGTTTTTAGGTTGAACAAATCCGAATAAAGTTCGAAAGTTACAGAAACCTCATGGCCCAAATTTCAACCAAGAACAAAAAAAAAGGAAGTGAGCGAGAAAGACACATTTCCTGACATAGGAGTTTATTGGTGATGCCAAAATATTTGACCATAGTAGGCCTTTTAGCCAGGTACAGGCATACCTAGTTGTAAAATGTCTCTAGAATAAAAGAAGAAGAGCAGAGTTCAAAGGTCACTAAAGTAGTTCAAAATAAATGTAAACACTGAACTAGGTTATTTTAAACAATAAACAGTTAAAATACAAATGTATCCTTTTTGATTTTTCCTGAAGTAAGTAAATAACTATTAAGTAATTAAATAATAACTAATTAATTATGTTTAACATAACTATTCAATGGTAATTGTATTAATTTATAATTCATCGATTTAAACCTGTAACAAATGGACAAAATATGAGCAAAGGCCAACAAGCTAGAGTGAATCTAGCCAGAGCAATTTATAAACAAAGCGACATTTACCTGCTTGATGATTGTCTTTCTGCCTTAGATACACATGTGCATAATTTTATTTTCAATCAGTGTATAAAAACTTATTTAAAAAACAAAATTTGTATCTTGGTCACCCAGAATCAAAATAAGTTTAAAAATGAAGAGAACGTTTTTGTTATGATCAACGGTAAAATTAAAAATTATTTTAGCCCTAGACAAAGATCCTTACAAGATATGCAGTTGTTAAAAGAATCTATACTAGGTATAAAAGAAAAATCATCATTACAAGAAAATTTTAAATCACTAGAAACTGATAAATTGTTGGAAACAGAACAGATCATCCATAAAAATATATACGAAGAAAAACTAAAGAAAGGAGCAGTGGATAAAACTGTTTATAAGAAATACGTTCTTTTCGGAGGGGGCTTCTTGATTTTATTGATAAATCTGATCCTTATAGGTTTGAATCAAACTGCTGAAAGTTATTCTGAAAAATTAATATCTGTTTGGTAAGTGTTTCATGAAAATTCATATTGTTTTATCAATAATTATAGACTTGGAGCTCTCTCAGACACAACGGTTTTGTCCGTACGGAAAAAAATCGTACGAATTTTTTCCGAGTCTTTGTAGATTTCACACTTGACTATTTTTTTTATTTTTTTTTTTTTTTCATTGAACCGTCTTTAGCTATTTTATTTTGTCAGTTGGTTATCGACATGAATCGAAGGCGCACCATTGCTGTGTGGGTTTTGTACCGTCGTATAAAAAAGTATCGGAAACGACATAATCGTACATACTGGGTGCACTCAATTAATCAAGAAAGAGATGAAGTGGGCACATTCATTTCCTTAGACATTTCCAGACAAACATACATTTTTTAATTACTTTTGTATGTCTACTGCATCATTTGATGAGCTTCATAACTGGCTGAAAAACAATATTCAGCGGCAATTACTAAAATGTGAAATTGCATTGACTATGGAAATGATAGCTGTGACACTGAAGTAACAGAGTTTTATGTTTGTTTCATTACTAGTTTATTACTTACAAAATCAAAAAATATTAATAGTAGTATAACTATAATATCACAATGGTAAGCTATCCATCCAGTTCTTTAGTCGGATGACTAAGGTCCTGAAGAAGTAGCCGAAAAAGAAGAAGAAGAAGAAGAAGAAGAAGAAGAAGAAGAAGAAGAAGAAGAAGAAGAAGAAGAAGAAGAAGTGATCCACAATAAGCGGAAGGTGCGTGACAGAACTGTACCTACCTCTTTAGGTAAGCAGAGGTAAAAGAAATGTCGCCTAAGGTAGGAGAAGGTAGTACAGGTGTGTCACTTGTCACCTATACAGGTGAACCTGAAGAGTATTGTCGAACCTCGCGTGGGTCTTTAATTATAATTTGATCCCATCGTAAATAAATAAATAAATAACTGGAATATATATTGTATATTATATTTTTAAAATGAACATGTGTGTACAAAAAACTCAATCGGAATAATGATAAATATTTGATTCATAGCAACGAGGTGATGAGTTATATCTTTTGTCTTTATAGAACTGCCTTGCAATGAAAGTTTATCAAGGGATAAAGGTGTTTGACGCGTGTGACGCAATGCAAGTGTGCAGAAGATATGTAGTGCATGTAAGCCACTACATTCCTTCCGCTCTCTTTAAACCTAATCAGTTCTTGGTTCATGGTTGGACTCCTCTCAAATTCGATAGTGTTTTTTCTATTGCATATTTCTATGTCTGTCTTTACCAAAGAGGTTAGAAAGGGTAGAGGTAACATAGGAAGCATTTCTCGCTGCGCGAATTTTGCCAAAACCGAAAAACTGGGTGGAAGGAGTAGGGAGATGTTCTGGGCCGGACTTAAATATTTGTATTGTAGTACCTAATTTTGGTGGGTAATTAAAAGATGAAAAATTATGAGACGTTTATTTGACTTTATTTGTTAGCACGATTCATGTATGACGAGGGCAATAACACTTTATCAATATATAACTAGCTAAGGGCCGATTCCACCGTTGTGTTAAACGAAGTTTAAATTATTAAACGAAGATTAAAATGACATTGTTAATGTAAAAATGTCATTTTAAACTCCATTTAGTAATTTAAACTTCGTTTTTGTTAATATAAAAATGTCATTTTAATCTTCGTTTAGTATTTTAAACTTCGTTTAACAAAACGGTGAAATCGACCCTAAGTAAAAGTTTATAAGTACTTTTTGCTCGAATTACACACAAGATTTTTTCTACGATCACACCAAAATAAAATAAATAACTAAATTTTATTAGAAATGGGTTACCTTTTCGTTCGTTATAATATTTTAAGTTTATTTGACATAGGCCTACTGTTCTAAGAGAAAAAAAATGTTTTGGTACTTATATCCTGGTAATTATTTATGATTTAATTATTTACGGAAAATACCGTTCAATGAATTAAAATATTAGAAAGTCAATTAATAGTTATTTATGTAACCAGTTACGAAATGCCTTATTTTGTGTAACGAGTAAATATTTGCAAAACGAGCGGAGCGAGTTCCCGCAACATGAACGACTTACACAAAACGGCATTTCGTAACGTGTTTATATGCAAGATTTTTTCTAATTTTGACTTGATTATTTATAAAATTGTGTTGAAAAATGATTCACCATCATTCTTGTGTAGGTACTTTCAATCAAATATTTTAGAAAATTGTTGTATTTGATTGCCCTACGACGTTTTTTTTTTCAATAGTAATAATAAAAAGAAGGGACATGTGCAGTGTTGCCGATCTAATTTTTGACATTACCCGCAAGAAATTTGAAAAAAAAACATTTTTACCCAATATCCTTGAAGAAGTACGTCAAAATTTTACCCCCAACATTTCTGGGCAGTTTTCAATAACGGTGTTATTTTAAAAATTAAACGCAATTTACAGCTTTTCTTTTTTTGTTTTCTTTTTTTGTTTTCTTTTTTGTTTTTAAACGTAATGTCATATTTTCAAATGTGAAATGTCACTATTCATTGCCTCTTTTTCGATATTTGGTTTTTTCGATTTTTGGTTTTTTAGATTTTTCTATTTTTTATTTTTAGATTTTTCGATTACTCGATTTTTCGATTTCTCAATTTCTCGATTTCACGATTTTTCGATTTTTCAACTTAGAAACCAAAAAAGAGGCAGTTTTATTTATTTTCATTTCGTAACTGGTGACATAATCAACTTTTCGTAATCAGTTGCATAATGTTCTACTTTATGCAAATGTCCATATAAATATTCTTTAAATTTATTTAAGCCAAAAATTATTGCAAGGACCTTTCATTCAATTTGGGAATATTTTTGTTCGGACTTTGATAAGGTACGCCAAGCAGAAGCTATACATTTTTCAATATTTTTTTTTTTTTTAAAACATGACATATCATGGCCCTTATTCCCACATTTGATGCATCTACGAATAATTTAATCGGCAACTCAGGCTGAAAATGCACAAGAGCATCATTTATTTTTGATTTATTCCAAAGATTCCTTGCAAAAATTATCCCAAATCCATTTCACCCATAAAAAATTAATTAAAAAAAAGTCCTAAAGCAAAATCATATCCTCCTTCCTGTTAGTGACTTAAAAAAATTACTTCCCAAAAAACGGTCCTCAAGCCAGGTCCCTCCATTTTGTGGCGATAGTACTGTTTTTTTTATTGTGATTATTTTCTTCGCGGAAACTTTGGCTTTACACGTTGAGTAACACTATTATAGATAATTACTAAATAAATAGTTTTGAGAAAACTATCGAAACCAGTTGTGAAGTTTGAAACGAATAAATTGGCAATGAAATTGATATTTTTGTATTTGATTGTATGTTTCTCACTTCCTAAAAAAAGATTCCCTATGAAACAAGAAATAGTAAACAGTTTATAATAATAACCTTTATTTGCTACTTATAACATGTACCAATGACCAAGTCCGATTCTGTTTATTTTCAAATCAACAAATATGGACGTCGACAGAATCTTTAAAAATTAAATATCTCACCGAAATAAATATAAGTTTCTTTTATCTCTGTCACATTTCACAGGTTTATTATAAATAAAGCTTTTTACAACACATCTTGGCATTTTCAACGTTAATTTCCAAAATTTAAGTCACTAAAATACCAAATTAATTCTCGTTGACACATTAAATTTGGATGGACAACGGTCTGACATGTGATGTTCTCAACTGTGATTGGTGGGTGTGAATCATTTTGAAATGGGATTATGCGCAGTGTCTTATGTTCCATCTAAGATTTGTATAATCTAAGGTCTTTACTCAAACCAGAACAAAATTTAAATACACTGTATATGAAATTATTAATGTAATTGTCAAACATATGTCATTAATAAAAACTACTCTAGATCAATTATCCATTCTAATCAGCAAAATGCCCAGTTGTGTCTTTAGTAATTACTATATTATCTAATAGGTTTTTTCTATCTAAAGAATACTGTCTATGGCCGCATTCAGCAGAAGCAATCGATTTATGATTTTCTGCTGGATATATAAAAGAGCGATTAGTAATCAAATGATGAGTTATCGGCCGCCATTTAAAACATCGAATTTGAAATACGATTAGTTATCACATCGTGATTAGATTTAGAACTCATACCAACTGAAGTGAATGTTTTGTGGTGGTGCTCATAACTCATAACCGTATTTTATGTTTATTTTGAATCCATTTTTACACTGGATGTGTCATTTTTCACTGAAATGGAGGACTTTGAAGTGATATATGTTTATAACAATATGAAATATATTGTAGTTGGTAATGAAGTGTTGCACAATGCATTAAAATCAGGTAAATACATTAATTTATAATTATGTAGTTGAGTAATTTATTTGGTGTTTTATTCTAAATTTTGTACCTATGTTTTAGATGATGACTTTTTTCTGAAGTACATTCAGGAAAATATGATTTGCTTGGAAATTATCGGCGTGGAAAAATCCATGAAAGTAGAGAAGTGCCAGAAAGGCAATTATGCTAAAAACTTTAGACTTCTCAAAATATAAACATAATTTTATCAGCTTTGTTTACTTGCGCACATGTCACTTTTATGCCGCCTTTCGAAGTGCCTAAAAAGTTCATTCAGAAGATTCACTAATCGATAAGTCATCGCTAAACGTGTGTCTTTTTATCCAACTGTTGCAGCAACGTTGGCATCGGTGCGGTATCTACCTGTCTTTTAATTCATCAATCTATCAATGATGAACTAACAGCGCTGTCTTTTTATCCAACGTTGATGCAATCGATGCAATACCGTTCCATCATTTCAATGTACGGTTTTTCCACATACTTTGATTACTATTCGAGGCAAGAGAGAGGTCCGACACGCCCAACATAGGGTGCGGCCATTTTGAACCCTGTGACACAGTTTACAGCTAAAGAATCAGATCGCTCACTCTGCGTCGGCACTTTTGATCTCAATGTTTCAGTTTATACACTGTGCAACTCGGATAATACAATATATGACAACCGCCTATAATAAAACAGCAGTCTTCTGCGTATCCTGAATTTGTATCCCTGGAGTGGATGTTATTTTGGAACTTTCAACTGGTCCGAGTGAGCTAACTGATTCTTTAGCAATAAACTGTGACTTCAAAAATAATGGCCGCATTCAGCAGAAGCAACCGATTATCAAACGATAACTTAGCGATGACTTATCGATTAGTAAATCTCCTGAATGAACTTTTTAGGCACTTCGACAGGCGACACAAAAGTGACATGTACTTCAGAAAAAAGTCATCATCTAAAACATAGGTACAAAATTTAGAATAAAATACCAAATAAATTACTCAACTACATAATTATAAATTAATGTATTTGCCTGATTTTAATACATTGTGCAACACTTCATTACCAACTACAATACATTTCATATTGTTATAAACATATATCACTTCAAAGTCCTTCATTTCAGTGAAAAATTAGGTACAAATTCAGTGTAAAACTGAATTCAAAATAAACATAAAATAAGGTTATGAGTTATGAGCACCACCACAAAACATTCACTTCAGTTGATATGAGTTCTAAATCTAATCACGATGTGATAACTAATCGTATTTCAAATTCGATGTTTTAAATGGCGGCCGATAACTCATCATTTGATTACTAATCACTCTTTTATATATCATTCAGCAGAAAATCATAAATCGATTGCTTCTGCTGAATGCGGCCAATATTCACTGACACTGACAGCAGCAAGCAAAATATCAGGTGCGTTTTAATCATCCGCTTCTGCTTCCGGAATTGTCGGTTTAGTCGTTTTAACCTGTCAGATTAAAACAAGAAAACCGACAATTCCGAAGCAGAAGCGGGTGATTAAAACGCACCTATTAAAAATATTGCGCCAAGATGTAGGCAACACGTAATAAGGGTTCAAAATGGCGGAGTTTTCTATCTCCTTTTAAAAGGCACTCAGAAAGCTGCGCAGTGCGACCATTCTCCGTATAGTAAAAGAAAATCAAAGTATGTGGGTTTTTCCGATTACATGTGACAACTGACAGCTATGGATTGCGGGAATTAATCAGAATTAAGGAGTTTATTAATTATTTAATTGTTTTTTTTTGTGGGAAAACCAAAAAAATAAGATTTTAAAAATATATGCGTACAAATTAAAGTAAATAGGTACATTCAAATAAAATTATAAACACAAATTTTAATCCAAAATGTCTACTGTTATTTGTTATTTATTTCAACGGTCAACCATAAATAAATCGAATTCAACAAAAGGCGTTCAAGGCCGCATCGGCGAAAAAACGATTCCAACAAACCGTTGGAAAAAAAGACACACGTTAAGTTATCGTTTGATAATCGGTTGCTTCTGTTGAATGCGGCAATTGATACGATCAAGCAATATTACTGTTCCTATCAGGACGATTAGTATCCTAGATAGATAAAACACAAACGTGAAAAGGGCATTAATATTCTACGATCTAGTGAAATTAATGTAATATGAATTATGATGTGCAAACAGAAATATAAATTTTTATTTTAAAATTTGTGTAATGTACCTATTTGGTGAGTTGAAATTTGCTTTTTGTTAGTAATTACTACTATGTAGATAGGTTCTTTCTTATGGGAAGAAAGCTGTCGTTAAAATATATTAGTATTACAGATTTTGTTGTTCTCCTCTAATAGAGAAAATAACATTGATTCTATGCTAGTTTCATATATTTGGAAAATTGGAGTCCTTAAAAATGCTAGTTGCATGTAACTAAGACAATTAAGGTCTTTCTAATGGTGCTAGTTGCAAGATTTTGATCATTTGTTTGCTTAATCGTGTGTACGTTTATTTGTATTTTTTCGTAGTTCTAGTGAGTCGTCAGAATTATGTAGAATTTGTAATTTGCAGAGTTTATTGAATAGTCGGTAAAAATATTAAATTTGAAATTATTGGCAGTTAGCGACAAAAGATATGAAACTCACCCCTGTACAATATATGTGACTACGATTTTGCTGCTGCCGTTGTTGATTCTACCCTTGTCGATGCTGTTGCTGCTACTGTTGCTTTAGCAAGAAATCGGGAAGACTACCACGTCCGGATAAGTTGTTTCAGGTCGTAATTATTCTTGTTCTTGAATGGGTCACCAAGTCACCAATGTGGGTGCTCGTTTTTTATATGTGGCTCCATCTCGGAGTCACCATTGTGGGTCTTTAATTATAATTTGATCCCATCATAAATAAATAAATAAATAAATAATTAATTGGAGGATATATATATTGTATATTATATTTTTAAAATCAGAATAATAATAAATATTTGATACCTAGCATCTTTTATCTTTATAGAACTGCCATGCAATAAAAGATATGTAGTGCATGTAAGTCACTAGACCTCGCCTAGCCTAGAAAAGAGGAAGAAAATCAAAGATGATCAAACCTGATTAAAAGTTGATCAAGACCTGATTAAAAGCTGATCAAGACCTATATAAAAAAAATCAAGACAATATGTTTTTGATCAGGTATTGATCTCGTTTTAATCAGATCTTGATCATATAGCTTTTAATCAGGACTACACCAGGCGAGACACGTCAATACTCTTCAAGCTCACCTGTATAGGTGACAGGTGACACACCTATGCACAACTGCACTTATGATACCTGGCTACCTTTTCCTTCCTTCGGCCACATTTATTTTACCTCTGCTGACCGAGAGAGTTGGGTACAGCTCTGTCACGCACCTTCTGGTTATTATCGATCACTTATTATTTTTCTTCTTTGGGAATTTATTCAGAACCCAAGCTATTTGACAAGAGAACTGGATGGATAGCTTACTATTGTGATCTTGTAATGCCTTAGTTATACCATAAATAAATTTTTTTTAATATATCAAACTACTTGCTGTTATGAATTAAAAAAAAAAATTATAATATTAGTTTCTAATATTTTTGTTAATAGTCATACTAACGCGTACACCAAAATACAAAATATTAATGATAAACAAAAACGTAACTGCACGCAACAACGGACTAAAAATCGTCATATATAAAAGCCTGCATAAAGTTACATAGCCCACTGATAGACGGTGACGGTACAATACCGTACAATTCAGTCGTTGACACGGCTGTTTTCAAATCGACTGTATAGAAAAAATCCGTTTCCGTCAAGTATTAAACCTGCAGTTAATTTTATCAGTTTACTATCAACGGCGCACTGAAAAAAATCGTACGAATTTTTTCCGTACGAACAAATCGTTGTGTCTAAAAGAGCTCTAAAGAGACATATAGTACAATTAAATTTTTCTTAACTTTCCAAATACTATTTTTTATTTGCAATTCATTCGTTTAATAGTTATAGTTCCCTTAATAAATGGACCATATTACATTTGTAGAGAACCAACTAGATTTCAAATACTTCTGGGTTAGCAGATCAATTAAATTTTCATCACAATTTTTATAACTCGCGAATAATTAAATAAAATGAATGATTTTTAGGACTGACGAAAAACAACATGTTCTGGGACTCAAATCTAATATCACAGCATCAAGGGAAAATATTTCAATTGTACATCCAGCTCTAGAGATTGCAGAATCTCAGGCTGCCTCTACATTTAAAATGTACTCAATCATGTTGGCAGTATCAGTTACTATTGAACTTATAAGGACTTATACGTTTCTAGATTTTTGTAGAAGAGCTTCAATAAAAATCCATAAAGCTATGGTTCGAAATGTGCTTGAAGCTGTTATGACATTTTTTGATTCGCATTTCATTGGAAATATTTTAAATAGATTTTCACAAGATATTATTAATGTTGATGAGAATTTGCCATTTCAACTAAGCGGATGTCTAGGAGTAAGTTTTTTTAAACTATTGTTTTATTTTTATTTAATTTACTGTTATTTTTACTTCTCTCTCTTTTTAAAATGTTCTGGCTTTTTTAGATCTATTTTAGATTAGATCTTTTCAAACATTTTGCATTGTGTTTTCATATAGGTACAGGTTGTCCAAGAATATGTTTTCAAGTTTGCGCATATTCACATGTTCAAAGTATCGCCTGTTTTGTTAATTTTTTTTTGTTAACAGCCTTCTTGTACTTAACACACTAGAATCACTAAGCTTAACCTCACTTAAATATTTACGTTTATATTATAACTAACACTTTTCGCTATTTCTCTACCGATTATATTTACCAAAGTGTTGATTTCTAAACGTTTAGTTAAATGAATTATCAACTGCGCATCTCACTTTAAACATCAGCGGCAAATCTACTAAGCACTCCCCATCTATATAAATGATGTTACACCAACGTATTTTAGCTTTAAACAAAACCTCCTAATATAATAATATAATATAATATAATATCCCATATGGCATATACGAATATAAATATCTCTAATATAAAAAAAGTAAATTTCAACACACTCTATCGTCATCTGACGCGGGCATGAATGTTTAAATTGGTACAGGTCTAAAAAACCATAGTAATAAAATAGGAATTTTATCAACATAAACCAAAATCAGTACAAAAATCAGTACAAAAATCAGTACAAAAATCAGTACAAAAATCAGTACAAAAATAGTTAGAATAGTTAATTTTATCGATTAAGATCAAAAGGTAGGTACCTTTTATTAGTTTAAGGTTAAACTATCCAAAGATATTACTGTTTTGACTTTATATTAGAGGTTGCAAAAAAATAGCATTATTGTGTTAAAGCTAGTTCGACTCTGGCAAACTAAAAAGACAAATATGTCTATTAGGGTAAATTTAAAGAAAACTTATCGAATACCTGGTAGTCACTGTGGGGGTATGATGTTCCTTATCCCACAAATATCTTCGTTGGAATATTGATATTAATATTTGATGGACGTACAAATTAATATTTTTCTTTTTATTTGACAATTGGTGCGTTTGATTTGATCATCGGAGATCTCTGAGTCCTGCAAACGTGTTTGAATTGAAACTCCGAGAGATCCCTAAAGTGTTTGTTTTGCTTTGGAGTGAGAACATAGAGCGAGCTCGATGTTCTCAGAGCAGAAGGATCGAGAAGAGGGAGAAATTTGTCTTTGTCTCTACCTGTCTCTTTTTAATTAACTTACAAATAAATTTAAATCTCAAAATTAAAGACCAAACAAGAAGTCAACTAATTACTTAGCCGCTTTTGTCTTATAGCTAAAATTATTCGTTATAAAAAACACAAAATGTGTGTTTGGAAAATACATTTTCTCTGTCCAGATCTAATCACCAGTAATCACAGTCATGGAGTATGAGAGCGGGCATTTGTGATAAATGCTGCATTTCAGCGCCAGTACACCTTATTATTAAAAGTTTTTCCATTTTCTTTACTTTTTGCTCACTATTTTGACCTTAAACTAGGTATACCTAGTCTAAGATTTTGACACACAAACCATAAACAAGAATCACAAAAAAGCGAGGTTATGTTTTTTATTCTGTTTTATTTGATTTGATTCAATGCTCTATTGTGACGTCATCACTTCTCGGTCTCCTCGACGCTCGCTCGATTGAGTTTCAAATCAAACGCCCCTAATATTCTAATCTTTCAAAATTATTTTATGAATCTATAGTTACCACATACCATGACTAAACCACAGTTTATAGCTAAAGAATCAGTTCGCTCACTCTGCGTCGGCACTTTTGATCTCAATGTTCCAGTTTATACACTGCGCAACTCGGATTTGTATCCCTGGCGCATACAGAATCGAATCATAACCAATACAATTAATGACAACCGCTTATAATCAAAGAGCAGTCTTCTACGCATCCTGAAATTGTATCCCTGGAGTGGATGTTATTTTGGAACATTCAACTGGTCCAAGTGAAATAACTGATTCTTTAGCAATAAACTGTGACTAAACTCTAACTATACATTGTAACTAAAAGTCTTATAAGTCTAACATGCTACATATTAACCCCCTCTTCAGTGACAACGACAAAAAAATTTAGTTAATGGAAAAGGTTACGGAATTGTTTAAGTTCTGTTTCTTAGTTTCTTTATTAGGTGAGTCTAAGTAAGCAGGTTTAACTCTCTCTATAGAGATGGCCTGTTCTTTGCCATATTTTTCAATAAAAAAGGTTTTTCCTGAACGTCGTAGGACTTTGAAAGGTCCTTCGTATGGTTGTTGCAAACTAGAAGTTTTTCTTGGAACTTCCATGAATATGTACTTGCGACTTCTTAAATCATCATGCACGAACATTTTGTTGTTTTTTGAAATGCGTTCAGGTGCTGGCTGTATGAGTTGAAAATTATTTTTAATTTTTAAAAGTAATTCTTGGGGTTCAGATATATTTTTACTAGATATGAAACATTCTCTTGGAATACGTAGAGCTTGTCCGTAGACAAGTTCAACAGAAGAACATTTCAGATCCTCTTTGAGAGCAGTTCTCAAACCTAATAAAATTATTGGGAGTTCCTTGCTCCAATGTCTACTGTTTTGTCGAGCCATTAAAGATACTTTTAACTTTGTATGAATTTTGTGACTGCCTAATAGTTTGGTTAGTTCTGTAAATAATTTTGATTTAAATTGTGTTCCTTGATCTGTGGTGACTTTTAAAGGAATACCGAAACGAGGTATTTATTCAGTAAAAAAGGTTTCGGCTACTGTAGTTGCAAATATATTTTTTAATGAATATGCTTCTGGCTATCTAGAAAATCTGTCTACTATTGTTAGGATGTGAGTATATCCATTTGAATAAGGAAAGGGATCAACCAAATCCATATGGATAGGCTCAAATTTTGAACTAGGTGCAATAAATTTTTCTAATTCAGATTTAGTTCGAAGGTGTATTTTAGATTTTTGACAACTAATGCATGCTTTGGTCCAAAAATTTATGTCTGAAATTAATCTAAGCCAAAAATATCTTGTGTTAATTAAATTTCGAGTTCCTCGTATGCCGGGATTCAAGAACAACATATCAACTATTGGGGAAACACCCCAAAACAGGCACATGGAAAAGCCTTCATAGGGAGTACCATGTCTCAAAAGAACTGGAGAACTACTCTCAATGAATAGGAACCAGTTGAAAGTGATAACAGGGTTCATGACTGGGCACGCCCCAGTAAAGGGACACTTGAACAAAATTGGCATGTACAATGGGGAACTCATGTGCCGACTATGTCACAAGAAACCAGAAACGGCCAAACACATACTGTGCGAATGCGAAGCTCTAGATCGCAAAAGACAGGCTCTTTTTGGACAACCCTAGGTTGATCCAACAACGTATAGAACCCGCTCACCCAAGGATCTGTACAAACTTGTACAAGGTACAAAGGTGACAGAGTGGGTGCTATAAACTGACATGGGGTAAAACACAATAAGCCGATAGGCTTCAGTGTTATTCGGAGATACATAGTCAGACGAGCCCAGGAGAAAAAAAAAAAATGCCGGGATGAGAGGTACTGTGAAGTTTGTCGAATATCAATCTACGGTTATGTTTTGGAACGTATGGTCTAATTTTTTCGGAGCAAATATCACACCAAACTAAAGAGTTTATAAATGGAATTTCTACTTCTTTAAGTTTGTCAATAAACTTGAAGTTATTTCGAAGATTTTTTAATTCTTCGTCAACTTTTTGTTCATCGGCTATAGACTTTATATCGATATATCATTCACAACTGACTTATTTCTCGAAAATACGGGACAATATGTCGGCCACGACATTTAATTTTCCACTAATATGACGTATGTCAGAAGTAAATTGTGAAATACATTCTAAGTGTCGAGTTTGTCTAGGACTTTTTTCTATTTTTGAAAATAATGCTCTTACTAGTGGTTTGTGATCTGTATATATAATGAAATCTCGTCCTTCTAGGAAACAACGAAAATGTTTAATTGATAAATAAATTGAGAGCAATTCTCTATCAAAAGTTTAGTATTTTGTTTCTGCATTGCTAAGGTTTTTAGAAAAAAATGCAATTGGCTCCCAAGATTTATTATTTTTATTAAATTGTTCTAAAACCGAACCAACACTGATGGTTGATGCGTCTACCGACAAACTATATGTAGGGTTTTCATAGGGATGTGTTAATAGAGTTGCTGTATCTAGTGAATTTTTGACTGAATTAAATGCAATATCATGTTCTTCACGCCAATCAAAATCTTTATTCCGTGTTTTTTTTTTGTTTTGCGAAAAATTAACTAAATCGTGCAATGGTTTTAAATGTGCGGCTAGTTTTGGAATAAAACGATGATAGTAATTTATCATTCCAATAAATCGTTGCAACTGTTTCACTGATTGAGGTCTTGGGAAATCTTTTATCACCTTAACTCTATCTTCAGAAGGTAAAATACCATCTTTAGATATATGGTGGCTAAGGAAATTTAAAGATTTAACACCGAATTCGCATTTTGTTGGTTTTATATTTAGGCCATATCGGTCCAATCTTTCGAATACAGCTTTAAGATGTTGTTCGTGTTCTGTTTGATTTTTACTAAAGATTAAGAGATTATCCAAGTACGAAAAAACAAAATCTAAACCAAATAGTATCTCATTAATAAAACGCTGAAACGTTTGAGCTGCGTTTCGGAGGCCAAAAGGCATGCGTGAAAATTCAAAGAGTCCAAATGGCGTTGTTATTGCAGTTTTGTGAATATCTTCTTCAGCCATAGGAATTTGGTGATATACTCGAACTTAGTCAATTTTTTAAAATATGGTGCAACCGCACACATTTAAATTGAAACTTTGAATGTGTGGTAGAGGGTATCTATCTGTAACTGTTATAGTGTTAAGTCTCCTATAATCTCCACATGGCCTCCAATCGTGGCTATCTTTTTTAGGAACCATATGTAAAGGTGAAGTAACAGGCGACGAAGATGGGCGGCCAATTCCTAATTGTAACATATATTCGAACTCTGTCTTTGCAATGTTATGTTTCTGTGTATCTAATCGTCTTGGTTTGCTAAAAGGTAGTTGTCCTTTGGTAATGATGTGGTGTTGCGTGTTCTGTTTGACACGGAGTGTATAATCGGGAGGAGATATGATTGATGGATAGAAATTGAGAATTCTTCTAAATTTATTATCAACAAAATCATTAACAAATATTTTTGGAGAAGGTGAATTTAATTTGGTCAAACAACCATTAGTTGTCAATGATGTGAAACTGTCTAACAATTTTCTATTTTTAATATCTACTAATAAACTAAACTTATTAGGAAAATCAGCCCCTATAATAGGGCGAGAAACATTAGCTAAAACAAAGGGAAACGTGAAATCGCGTCTGAGGCCAAAATTTATTTTTAATAATTTTCTACCGAAAGTGTTTATGGTCGTCCCATTGGCAGCAGTTAAAAACAAAGAATCATCAGGTGTATAAACTTTAAATAATTTATTTGGAAGAACTGAAACCTCAGTTCCAGTAGCGATTAAAAATTTTAAATTAGAAGTTTTATCTATTAGAAATAATCGGTGAGACGACTTGGAAAAAGGTAAACCACTGCTTGATTCTAAAACAGCGGTTAATTTTGATCGTTTTTTGGATGATTTTCATTTTTATATTTGCAAGGAAAGTTGCATTTTTTAGCTTTATTGCCGTAAGTAAAATGATACCAACATAAAGGTCCTTTTTCATTAAAGTTTTTTATATTTGACTGTCTACTTGAACTTCTGTGTCGACAATTATGATATGGTCTCGATGAAGAACGTGATCTGTGTTTTTCTGATAGCATTTTTCTTAGTTCAGAAATTTCATTGATTACCTCATTATATTTACAATTTAAAGTAGATAAAGATTGTACAAGTTCGATGTTAATGTCATCATGTAAACTTTTTTTAATTGAACTTATACTTTGCATATGAGGTTGGAAAACATCCCAGATTTTGTCTGCAATATCTGAAAGTTCCTGAATGTCAGATTTTCCGGAATGCAATGTTTATAGGTTTAGGTTTTTTCTTCATCCATAGTTGATTCAACAAATCGGAGCCAACTGTGGATGATCCTGCTAACATTTCCATGGAACGATAAAGTTCCGATGGTTTACGATCTCCTAAATCCGTATTAGATAGGAGTTCTTCTAAATAAAAAAGAAATTTCTTATCCTCGCTAATAGAATGACGTTGAATAAGGGTATTTTTTAATTGATGATAATTTTGATTTTTTCGGTCTTTAATTTTATCCCAGACTGTTAATATAACCTCCTGTGGCAAAGATTCGAGTATGTATTCATATTTTGTGGAATCACGAGTAACATTTTTTAAACTTAACTGACTCTGCTTGCAAAAACTAAGCTTCTGGACATTGAGTCCAGAATTGAGGTAATTTGATAGAAGTAGAAATTTGTTCTATGGCATTATTTGAATTTGTATCCGTTTTATCTGGCATTATTTAATATTAGATACTGAAGAGGGTGTGTACAAACCTATGATATTTAATGGATGTTCTTTACGTTTAGTTACGTTCTATTTTAAAATTGGACTGTATAAGTGTTCCTTTACTGGTCTGCCTATGCTTCTTACGGACAACGGTACAACGGTGCAACGGTACTTGCTGTAAAGGGACTGTGAAGGTCAGTGAAAGGTACTCATCGTATTCAGGAAGAAAAATATACAGGATGTCTGTAAAAGGTCTTTACAAAAACACACCACATATTCCTTAGACCAAAATAAGTCGATTTAAGTAAAATTATCCTCGTACAAAGTTGCTTCGTTTGGGATCCAGAGGGCCTTGAAGTTACAATTTTTAAATCGTTTTTCCAATATAAATTTAAAACGGCATATGCTGAAATTTGGTATATTGGTAGAGTTTTATGTGGCAAAAAAGTGGTATTAAAATTTTGTCCGATAATAATACATAGGCGTAGAACTTGATTTTTTAAATAATTGCACCTTTAAAAATTCTACGCCAATAAAAGAAAAGGAGTTTGAGTATGAAATTTAGATTGCGCAACCCATTTACTTTAAAAAAGGTACTCCTGATAAACGTTAATAACGAAAACAATTTATTCATTTACTTACAACTTTCTGAACAACAAATTATTTATTTCTTCAAATTGGTTTCCATTTTCTTTTTGTATTTTTCTAACAATAATTTTTCCTTTTCCTTTTGAACCCTTATAAGTTCCAGCTGTTCCAACAATATCAGTCGTTGGAGCTCTGTATTGGACAAATTTGAGGTTATGTCTGTTTCCATAAATTTGGTCCTTCTGGCAACTGGAGACTTATCAGTTAAAGGCCGAACATGAGGTGGAGGTGGAATAAATTCTTCAGTTTTGGACGTTGATGGCTGAGGTTGTTCTATCACAGATCCTATCGACATTGCTCCTGAAATAATTTTTTGGATCAAAACAGTAATTTATAGTATTCGGCGAAAAAATACTTAATTTTGCTTTTACATCTTCATACCATTTATTTGCTTTTCTAGCCATACTTTATTTCCTACCTGGTACTTTTTGAAAAACAGGGTTTTCTTGTCCTTCCATTAGCGCCAAAAGTTGTTTTTCCTACGCGTTTAAAACAATTTTCTTATTTCCCGTTGCAGTTTTGTCCGTCTTTTTCTTCAACTCGGTCTTCATATTTTGGATTTTCTTTTTTCGGTTAATTCCCTTCCAATTTGCAAAATATATTTTTGGTGGATTTCTTTGTATGCTTGTTCTTTTTTAACTTTTATTTTAGGAACTTGCGATTTATTAAATATAATATTATAGCTTTCCAAAATTTCCATTAATTTCAGGTTGGACGAAATTTTTGCAGGAACTTCCTCCGTCAAAAAAATCACTTGTGGAATTTTCTGAACCACTACTCATTTTGAACGTAAACCGTTAGCACTCGTTGATACTGGTTTAAAGAGTTTTCATAGGCTCGATATTTGCCTGTGTCGATTAGCACATCAGCAGTTAAAATTTGTCCATACACATACAGTCTATCGACAGGTCTGAGCCTGCAGTTCCACAGAATTTCACGGCCGACTGATTAGTCATAAAAATATAAATATAGGCCTTATCAGTATAAAAACATTTTTTTTTTTGGTGATTTACCAAATAAGAACTTTAAGTAAATACTTAAAATATCTAGCTTTTGCTAGTAAGTAAAAGCAGAAGGTTATTCACTTTAATTTCAGCAAATGCTATTAGCAAAAGCTAAATCTACCTAGCAAAAGCTAAAGCTTATAATTCATACTAAAAGCAAAAGCTAACTTTTTATTCACTCGGCCCCATCTCTAGAAAGTGCTTTATTAGCCCTAGGAACGATATATATGCTGACACTGTTCTAAGCGTTTAGGATCCTATAAAAAATATTTACAATGACAAAATTGGGGTTCAACAAAAAAATAATAGTAGCAACTCTTTATCTAACTTTAAAACGCTATAAAAAACAAATTTTCTTCTCTAGTAAGTTAAATTTAATGTATACATTAATTATTGTTGTTTGTAAGTCAGGATCTATGACTGTAAAATTGTATATTATAAAATAAACTGCACTCCGTAGGATACATATTGTGACTAGTTTACAACAAATATTATATTTGAACATAAATACATTATTTTACTTACATTAGAAGCTTTAAAGAGACATTAAATTGATTTCTCCTTGTGTTTTCTTTACTATTACATTTGATTTATATCCTGTTTTACAATAGGAACGAAGTAAATCTTGCTTTGATGTTTTATGTCATTAATGTTACTTGTACTTTTTTTCATATTATTTTGATTATTTCCACCAATTTTTTAAAAAATCACTTCATTTTACATTGACTTGCCTACTACAGTCAATTTTGCGAACTACATAAAAAGAAGGATAGAAATTTGAAATTTGACCATTGCCGATTCGCCTCCTTTTCTCTAGTCTTCATATTTGTGAATATGAAGAAATGGTTGTCGAAGAAAATGAAGAATGTGAGTGTAGTGGCGGCTTGTAGCCAAAAAATTGGGGGTTCACAATTAGAGAATATAGGTCTCGGTACAGATTTAGGTAAAAAGCTTTCAGTGTTTTGAAAATGTGTATTATAAAAACTGAAAGTTTTTTACCTAAATCTGTTCTGAGATCTATATTCTGTCATTGTGAACCCCCAATTTTTTGCTCGATATGGAAGAAGCAAATTTTATTTAAAGTAATTTCAAAATTAAAATACAGTTTATTGAGAATATATTGTTCGAATTTTTAAAATTATTATACCTAAATCTATTTGAGTGACAATCAAAAAGTTCTTTGTCCACTAGAGATATGCAAATAACATTTTTACACCTTTTTTCAAGCATCAGTTTTTTGCCATTTCATAAAATTTACAATTTTGGACAAACCGCGTTTTGCAAGTGTGCTCTTCAAATGGTAGTTAATGGTTGTGGTATCTATTCAATACAACTGAACATGTTTTGTATTATTGTTTTGTTTTAATTTTTAGGTAATTTTTCGAGTTGGAGGAGCAGTAATCCTATTGATCTCAGTAAATGCTTACTTTTTAATTTATTCCGTTGTTTTTTTCTTTGCTATGATGGCTCTTTTAAAATTATACCTGCCCATTGCAAGGAACCTGCAAAGACTTGAAGCCTCAAGTAAGGGAAATTTTATACATTTTCTATAATTAAAATATTTAATCGATTTGTAAGTAATTTTTCTCAGATAATAGTTATTAATTATTTACTACTTCGTCATCATTTAGTTATGAAGGATATAAAAGTGAGAATAAAACTTTCAATCATTTTGTGTGTTTATTTGTAGCTCGAAGTCCTATGTTAGGCCACTTAAACGCAGCCTTAGAAGGAATGACAACAATAAGGGCTTATAAAATGGAAAACATGGTCGTAGAGGAATACGAAAAACACCAAGATGTTTTCACTTCAGCACATTATACATTATTGTGTTATCAATACGGTTTTGGATTTTTTATGCAAATGCTAGCTGCAACTATGATAACCATGGTGGTTATAAGTTTTATTTTTTTCGAAACAGGTAAAATAAATACTATATACTGACTGACTACATCCAATACCTCTTTTTTTATAATTTCAGGAGCTTCGGCTGGTAGTATCGGTTTGGGATTAACCCAAGTAATCAGTTTAGGTTCTATAATTCAAGAAACGGTAAAGTCTTGGGCAGATTTGGAAAACATGATGACAGCTACTGAAAGAGCATTGGAATATACGAATATTAAAACAGAAAATAAAGATGGAATATTGGTTAAAAACTGGCCGAATGATAAAAAGATCAAATATGAAAATGTATCTTTGACTTATAATAACAATGAAATTGTACTAAATAAATTAAATTTTGACATATTATCTAAAGAAAAAGTTGGAGTTGTAGGTCGAACTGGAGCTGGAAAATCTTCTATAATTTCTACGATCTTTAGATTATACGAAGTAGAAGGAGATATACTAATAGATGATATTAATATTAAGACCATTTCTTTAAACTACCTCAGAAGAAATTTAGCTATTATCCCTCAGGATCCGTTCTTATTTTCTGGAACAATTCGATCGAACCTGGACCCGTATGGAAACTTTAACGATAATGATCTTTGGAATACTTTAGAAAAAGTGCACTTAAAACGTTTTATTGCAGATTTGGATATGGAAGTGAAATCGGGTGCTTCTAATTTCAGTTTGGGTCAAAAACAAATGATCTGTGTAGCTAGAGCCATATTATCTAAAGCGAAAATAGTAATTTTAGATGAAGCTACTGCTAATATGGACCAAGAAACCGAGAATTTAATTCATAAAGCTATTAGAGACAACTTTTCTGATTGTACAGTGTTAATAATTGCTCACAGATTGGAGTCAATTCTAGAATGTGATAAGGCAATGGTATTGGATCGCGGTGAAATAAAAGAATTTGACAAACCTGATATTTTGTTAAATAATAAAAATAGTTTGTTTACCAAAATGATTCAGCAAGCAGATATTTCTAAATAAACATATTTCGTTTGTTACGCTTTTTATGTTTTCGGTATTTATATAAATACATTATGTATTTTTTTGTTAATTTTGTTTTATTTCATAGTCATATACCTACATGATTATAATTATTATGTAAGATAATAGTACATATTTTCTACCTGACACTTTATTGGGTCTATATTATGAATTAATTATGTTTATGGATAAAGAGTGAAATAAAAGCTATTCAATAATACACAATAAACGAAATATCAATATTATAGTGATATATGAGTTTTAATTAAGTTTACGGGTAAGAAAACTGTAACATCCTATTCAAAAAACAGTTTTAAATATTTACCTACCTAATAAATTTTAGAAGATATAAACGTCTACGCCAATTTAGAGAAAAACTACAGTTGAACAATGAAGTGATTTTTTAATCAAAATTTAAATCGTTACAGTAGAATTCAAATAAATGGGGTTATTAAATATTCGTCCATATTGTTCTGGAAATTATTTTAAAAAATTCATAGAAAAACCCCAACAAACAATTTAAGTAGGTTAACTGTTATGGCTTAGCCATATAGAGAGAGTGTTATTTGGAATAAATTTAGTAGTTCAAATTCCTACTGTTTTTTTTTTAAATGCTCGGACCCGTCGATTACGATTTCCAATCAAGATTTTTTACATATAATAATAATAATAATAATGTATACGGGGTGTCCGAATTTATAGATATGACGTCATCGTTGATTTTGTTAAATGGCAGCACTGTCATCTTGATGGCTATTTTTATAGGGTTTGTAAAGTTGTACATAACTGCCAAATATTAAATTTTTATTCTTTACCAATTACAAAAACCAAACAATTTGGAAAATGTCATGTCTTGAAACTTGGACAACTTGTATAGTACATTATCATTTTATGAAAAAACCAGTAATCTAGGTATTAAACAAAAATATGGTATTGCTGTGGTTTTTATCAAGTGAACAAATGTTTTGAAGTTTAAAAATCCATATAAATTATTAATAAAGTCAGTTCTTTTGGAAAAATCGTTTAATATGGTTTAACAGAAAAGCTCAAAATTGAATTTTTACAAATGATTAGATATGGAGATAGAGCAAGAATACAAACGAAAGTTATGCATCTATTCAGAGAAAAATATCCCGACCTTCCACCCATATCGCGAAGTACTGTAAGTAAAATATTGTGACGTTTGTTTAACAGTTTATTTGTTAATAAATTATTTAAACACCTATTTATTTTAAAACAATACCATTTCAATTTATATATTTTGAAAGTCTTTAAACTGTTTACTATTTATCTACACAACTGTTTCTATACGACTGACTGCTCCGTTATTCCTTCACCAATATTTATATACACATTTAAAATTTTGGTGGATTCCAGAATGTTCTCCGCCAAACCTAGAAACATTATCACGTTCTACCTGGAATGTACTCAAAAGCGCCTTCGTCATATTCGTTACAAATGTTTGGTCTTAATTATGTATAATTATCGCACAAGTTGAGCCTGAAAGGACAAATAAGACAGAGAGGGACTTGCGAGGATTAGAGCATGACTGAATAATGAAATGGCTCGCATCACAATAGAAAGACAATTTAAGAAAAACGGGAATGTAAGAAAAACAAAAACTCATCGACAAACTGCTCTTAGTGAAGATATCAAAATGAATGTACCACTACTATCTGTTCAAGAAAATCCTAATATCTCTACCAAGCAGATAATTAATTATGTTGAAATTAGCCAGTCGTCAGTAGCACGAATTCTAAAAACAAATAAATTGCATCCTTACAAACTTACAATCCTCCAGGAATTACTGGAAGATGATCTTGTGAACACATTATGAATAAACTAGACACGAACAACATTCTAGTAGAGAACATTGTGTTTTCTGATGAATCTACGTTTATGTTAAATGGTGAGGTAAATCAACAAAATTTTCGATATTGAGCTGATGAGAATCCACGCTGGATGAGGGAAGGCCATACTCAACGTCCTGAAAAAGTAAATATTTGGACAGGGATTGTAGAAAATCAAGTTATAGGACCAATATTCTTTGCCAAAACTTACAGTGGAGTAAGATATTTGGAATTCTTGCAAGAAGAATTAGTGCAATTGGGTAATTTGTTTTCCAACCCTGTACATGCTAATATCCCGAATAAAGACATTTGGTTTCAACAAGATGGTGCGCCTCCCCATTTCGCAAGACCTGTTTGTGAGTATTTTGAGGCTGTATTTTTAGGCAGGTGGATAGGTAGAAGGCGACCTATTGAATGGCCATCGAAATCCTTTGGACTTCTATTTATGAAGTACAGTTTTTAAGACCAAACTGGCAAATATTGAGAAGCTAAAAGCACCAATAAATGAGTGTAGATTAATTTCGCCCCAAGTCATTAGAATTTCGATCGCTTTTAAGATATTGTAAAATAGTCAAGGAACAACATTATGAGCATTTGCTTAATTGAAATAATTAAATTCAATAGATTTGATTACTTGTTTATAATTTTGTTACTTTTTATAATCTTGTAGTTGCTATGAAATAAAAATTTGATATTTGGCAGTTATGTACAACTTTACAAACCCTTTAAAAATAGCCCTCAAAATGACAGTATTGCTATTTAACAAAATCAACGATGATGTTATGTATCTAAATTGGGATACCCTGTGTTGTGAACCGCCAGAAACTGCTACCCGCTGTTCCTCGTTCACCAGGTTCTTTTTCATAAATAAAAATTTTATAATTATAGAAGAAACTTGGAAGGAACGTATATTGACTTTTACTACCAAAAAATTATAAGTCAAAATTAACAACTTAATAAAAATTATATACAGCATATCTCCAACACCCTGTATACATTATTATTGTATGTAAAAATCTTTATAGGAAATACTAGTCCCAGAATTAAAAAAAAAATAATATTTGAACTAGTGAATTTATTCCAAATTACAGACTCTCTCTTTATGTCATATATCTTTTAATATCACATATCTTCTGAATTTAAATTTTATTGCAATCTCAATTCCAGTTAGGAGACCAAATATATTATAATTTTAAAAGAGGACTATTGTAAATTTTTATAAAAAGTTTCGTACAGATATATAAAAAATTATTTAAAACTGCGAACCCGGATCTGTGAATGATCCTAGCAAAATAGCTTTGCTTGACAAACCCCTTCCTTGTTGTGGAAAAATCGCACTTTGTACTGCCGACAATTCTCCATACTGTATATAAAATCATAAAACTAGTTCCGACAAGGAGGCGAAAAAGAAATTCAGGCAATTCCATACGAATCAATTCACATTAGTTAGCGCCAATATTTAAAACAATCTACAATATGTAAACACTAAACTTCCTGCCAAATCTTGGAGATATTCTAGCAGCATTAAAAAAGAAACATGTCCTTGAGGTATGTTCTGTTAGAACAGTTGGAAGATTTTAAAAAAAACATGGTTTTAGATATAAAACATTAAATAAAAGACAAACAATAATGGAATCTAGTCGTTTAGTAAAGTGAAGAAACGAATATACAGGGTGTTATTGAAATACACGTACATATTAAAACTGGGTATTGCGCAGATCCCCACTGAATGTAGAAAAATATTATTTTTTAAAAATACCCCTTATTAAGGGAGTTATTAATTTTTGAAAATTAATTCTAAACCAAACGTACTTCACTGATATGTTGAGGATGACCTATATAAATTAGGTTTATTTACCTATTTTAAACATCAACAGTAATTAGTAATTAATATGCAAGTTTTTGTCAGATGATAAGAAAACTAGTCTTGTAAGAAATTACCATGTTGCCAAGATTTTCGAATTAATTTCTATTTCCGAAGACTGGTTTTTACTACCCTCGTTATCAAAAAACTAGAATATTTGATAAATGATTGTTTTTAAACTATACATTTTTGAAACTATAGATTATTAAAATTTTAGTTGATTTACGAATCTGGCTAACACGAGCGCGTCATTTCCAAGTTGGTAAAAAGTGTTGTTACGATTACTTTTAAATATTTTTTTACGATGCCACTATTTACGAATATTGAACTAACGGATATAGTGCTGATTTATGGGGCAGCTGGAGAAAATTCTCGGCAAGCACAAATCCTATATCGCGAACGGTTTCCAAATCGGAGAATTCCGGACTGTCGTACGTTTATTTCAACTGTTCAGCATCTAAGAGACCATGGAAAATTTGAGAGTGTCAATGCAGATCGAGGGAGAACAAGAACACAAGGAACATTGGCGGCCGAAGAAGAAATATTGGAAGCTGTTGAAAACCGGCCTCAATTAAGTTGTAGAAGACTAGGTCTTGAAATTGGAGTGTCCTCATTTGTTGTGTGGCGGACACTTAAAGAACAAGGTTTACATCCTTATCACATCCAAAAAGTCCAGCCCTTATATCCAGGTGATGAAGAAAAGAGAGTGGAGTTTTGTGAATGGATGATTCAAAAATGTGTTGATATTCCTGATTTTCTAAAAATATTATTGTATACTGACGAGGCTTCATTCACTCGTGATGGCGTGTTCAATATGCACAATACGCATATTTGGAGTGATGAAAATCCTCACGTCATTAGGGAAACTGGGCATCAAAGAAAATTTTTAATAAATGTTTGGGCTGGCATAATAGATCAGTATTTAATCGGGCCTTATGTTCTCCCGAACAGATTAAATGGGCCAGGATATCTCCACTTTTTAGAAGTTTTTAGAAGATATTTTGCCAGTACTCCTAGAAGAGATACCGTTACAATTAAGGCAACGGATGTGGTACCTACTAGATGGCGCTCCTCCTCACTTTGATTTAAACGTACGGCAGTTTTTGAACATTAGATTTCCTCAAAAGTGGATAGGCAGAAATGGACCTACTAAGTGGCCTCCGAGATCTCCGGACTTAAATCCATGCGATTTATTTTTGTGGGGTCACATGAAACAACTGGTTTATAATGAACCTATTAATAGTGTTGAACAATTAACCAATAAAGTTAATGCGGTAGCCGAGGAACTACGACAAAATCCAAGACTAATTTCTAATGTTCAAAGTTCTTTGGAAAGACGATTGCAAGTGTGTGTAA